ATTATCAAAACCCAAAAACCAATAAAGGCCAAAAAATTCTTAGAAAATTAAAGTCTTGGACAAAGAAAGCGATATTTCGTCAAAGTGATAAAATTATAGAACCTTTGATGTTAAGGAATCGACCACAACAACCATTTAATAATCGTAATAGTATTGCAAGTAGCATTTATAGTAATTATTATCGACAAGAGTCTGAATTTCATGGAGGTCACGTTGGAGGAAATATGGGAGGAAGAATAAAACGATCCAAAAGTTCACGGTTTCATACACAAAAAAATACTTCAATAAGAAGACAATCCATAATAACTTCAATGCCAATCTCTTCATCATCCGAAGATACATCTGAAAGAACTACTCCTTTATCAAGACCATCATCACAAACTTCTCGTTTACCGAGACCGTTATCACAGATCTCTCAAATAACTTCAAGAAGTAATAATATTGTTTCACCTTTACCTTTACCTACGGTTATTGAAGAGAATAATATGAAAAATACTCAGTTGGATGATATTCAAATAGCATGTAGATTATATGAAGTATTAAGTTATCATGAGAAACGCGATGTCGTATCAGAAAAGTCAATCGCATTAACTCCAGAAAATAATAGTTTTAATGAAGAAAGGCGTCATAGCATTTATTCAGAAGAAAGAAATAATAGTACTCATACTGATGAAAATATCAATTATACTGAAGATAAACGTAATAGCGTTTATATTTCAGGAAAAGAATCTCCCATAATATTAGAGTGTGAATTTTGTCATATTCAATCACTTTATCAAAATAATATATATATGACTCGTTCAAGTAATTTATCCCGTACTTCATTACCAACTTCCGACATTTATTCATATATTCCAATCGTAGAGACCACACAAATGACTATATTATGTGAACAAGATCAAGATTACGTAATCGTAAAAAAAATGTTTTTTGCTGATATTCCACGAGCGGAAATTAAAGGAATAATCCGATTGGACATGCCAACAAAACTTGTTAAAGCTCATGAAAAATACAAAAAAAGAATTGCTAAAAAAACTGGTATTAAAATTGAGTATATTACTCATTCGATGTTTCATGGAACTACTTCATCATTTGAATGCAATCCAGATCGGTTTTTACAAGGAAATAGTGAATTCTGTAAAAAAGGATGTGGCGTATGCGGTATCATAAGGCAAGGAAATAAGAAAAAATACTCTAAACATTCCAAAAGTGTGTATATATTTATATTTATATTTTTGTAATTTAATCCAATTTATTTATTTATTAATTAATAATAATATTCTTCTTCTTTTAAT